AGGGTCTGTTTTAAGACTTTGTCCTCTCTGAGACTACTTATTTGGGCTTTGTTCCGACTCTTGTTTGGAACTAGGCTGTTTCCTATTGCAACTGTGTGGTCTAGGAATTTTTCTCTATGCTCTAAAGAGAAACCTCTAAGAAATGGGATTCCCAGTCATCCAAATGCTTTGAGGCCGCTCTGTCCTTTCTGGGACCCTGGCTGGTTTTTGGCACACTTCTATCTAAATGGACTGACTTGACCAAAAGTATTTTAGAACTCCAATAGCAATTATCAGGAACTTCCAATCTATCCAAAGTTGTTTTACTCAAAATTAAATTGGAAAGCTACAGCTCAAAAACACAAACAAAAAAAACCCAAAAACAAACAAAAACCTGAATGGGATGCTTATTGTAATCTGTACCTTGAGGCTTACAAATGTTTTCAGGATTCTAAATCTGCCTCTTTGCAAAATATTGTTTCTAAATTAACTGAGGTAAATAAACAATGAAAGGAGTAGGAATGTCTTCTCAGGCATTTTTTTCCTCCCCCACCCCCACCCCCTTTTATCTCTAGAAACTTGGCAGCCACCTTGTGCCCAGGCCCTGCCTCAGGTGCCTTTTTCCTCTGCACAGTCCCCACCTCCTCTATACCCGCTGCTCCCTGGTTCTAATCCTTCCACCGAAACTCCCTTTTCCTCTGAAACTCTCTCCAGCTCCCTCCTCTCTTGAATCTATGAAAACCTGCCCCTTTTATTTTTTTATTATTCTTTTGGGGAGGGTAGCAAAGAGAGAGGGAGAGAGAGAATCCCAACCAGGCTCTGAGCTGGGCATCACAAGCAGGACGTGGGACTTGATCTCACAACCCAGAGATCATGACCTGAGCTGAAATCAAGAGTCAGACACTTAACCAACTGAGCCACCCAGGTGCCCAAGCCTGCCCCTTTTAAAGTGAAGTCTTCTGAGGATCCAAGTAAACCCCAAATTTCTTCTGTTCCTGGACTAAGGCCAAATTGTGAGCCATAGTCAAAGAGTTTCCTAAAATAACTTGTGGCTGCATAATTCCAATCTCTGCCTCTTCCTTCACCTAGCATTCTCTTCTTTCTGTGTCTTCTGTGTGTCTTACAGTGTGGGACACTTATCATTAAATTTAGGGCTCACTCAGATAATTCAGGTTGATCTCATCTCCAGATCCTTAATTACACTTGAAAAACCCTTTTTTTCCAAATAAGGTCACATCCACAGATTCCAGGACATGGATATATCTTTTTTTTTAATTTTAACTATTTTTTTTATCAACATATAATGTATTATTTGTTTCACGGGTACAGGTCTGTGATTCATTCTTTTTTTTTAAATTCCAGTAGAGTTAACATACAGTGTTATATTAGTTTCAGGTGTTCAATATAATGATTCAACAAGTATAAGTAATATATACATTACTCAGTGCTCATCATAAATATACTCCTAATCTCCCTCACCTATTTCACCCACCTACCCTCTGGTAACCATCAGTTTGTTCTCTATAGTTAAGAGTCTGTTTTTGGCGGTGCCTGGATGGCTCAATTGTTAAGCGTGTGCTTTTGGCTCAGGTTATGATCCCAGGGTCCTGGGATCAAGTCCCGCAGCGGGCTCCCTGCTCGGCAGGAGGCCTGCTTCTCCCTCTCCCTCTCCCCCTGCTTGTGTTCCCTCTCTTGCTATCTCTCTCTCTCTGTCAAATAAATAAATAAAATCTTTTTTAAAAAAAATCTGTTTTTAGGGTTGTCTCTTTTCCTCTTTGCCCGTTTGTTTTGTTTCTTAAATTCCACATGAGTGAAATCATATGGTATTTGTCTGTCTCTGACTTATTTCCCTTAGCATTATATGCTCTAGATCCATCCATGTTGTTGCAAATGGCAACATTTCATTCTTTTTTATGGCTGAGTAATAGTCCACTATAAATCTCATCTTCTTTATCCATTCATCTATCGATGGGCACTGGGGCTGCTTCCATAATTTGGCTATTATAAATAATGTTGTAATAAACATAATGGTGCATATCTCTTTGAATCAGTGTTTTAGTATTCTTTGGGTAAATACCTAGTAGTGGAATTACTAGATCATATGGTAATTTTTTTTTTTTTTGAGGAACCTCCATACTGTCATCCATAGTGGCTGTACCAGTCTGCATTCCCACCAACAGTGCATGAGAGTTCCTTTTGCTCCACATCCTCATCAACACTTGTTTCTTGTGTTTTCGATCTTAGCCATTCTTACAGGTGTGAAGTGATATGTACTTGTGGTTTTGATTTGCATTTCCCTGATGATTAGTGATGTTGAGCATCTTTTCATATGTCTGTGGCCACCATCTGCATGTCTTTTTTGGAGAAATATCTGTTCATGTCTTCTGCCCATTTTTTTTTTAAAGATTTTATTTATCTATTTGACAGAGAGAGACACAGCGAGAGAGGGAACACAAGCAGGGGGAGTGGGAGAGGGAGAAGCAGGCTCCCCACCGAGCAGGGAGCCCGATGCGGGGCTTGAACCCAGGATCCTGGGACCATGATCTGAGCTGAAGGCAGACGCTCAACAACTGAGCCACCCAGGCGCCCCTCTGCCCATTTTTAATTGGATTATTTTTTTGGTGTTGAGTTGTATAAGTTCTTTATATATTTTGGATACTATGCCTTTATTGGATATGTCATTTGCTAATATCTTCTCCCATTTAGTAGGCTGTCGTTTAGTTTTGTTGATTGCTTCCTTTGCTGTGCAGAAGCTTTTTATTTTGATGTAGTACCAATAGTTTATTTTTGCTTTTGTTTCTCTTGCCTCAGGAGATGTATCTAGAAGAATGTTGCTAGGGCCAATGTCAGAGAAATTACTGCCTGTGCTCTCTTCTAGGATTTTTATGGTTTCAGAAATCACATTTGGATCTTTAATCCATTTTGACTTTATTTTTGTGTATGGTATGAGAAAGCAGTCCAGTTTTTCCAACACCATTTGTCTTTTTCCCACGGCATATTCTTGCCTCCTTTGTCAAAGATTAATTGACCATATAATCACGGATTTATTTCTGAGCTATTCTTTTTTTTTTAAGATTTATTTATTTATTTTAAGATTGTATTTATTTATTTATTTATTCATTTGTTAGAGAGACAGTGAGCATAAGTGAGTGGAGGGGCAGAGGGGGAAGGAGAGAATCCCAAGCGGACTCCGTGCTGAGCATGGAGCCCAATGCAGGGCTCAATCTCACAACCCTGAGATCATGACCTGAGCTAAAACCAGGAGCTGGATGCTTAACCGAATGAGCCACCCAAGTGCCCCACAGCTCTCTATTCTGTTCCATTGATCTATGTGTCTATTTTTGTGCCAGTACCATACTGTTTTGATTACTACAGCTTTGTAGTGTACCTTGAAATCTGAGATTTTGATACTTCTTCTTTTTGGAGATTGCTTTGGCATAGACATATCTTTTGGGGGGAGAGGGGCAGGGTATCACCATTCAACCCACTACAATCAATACAGAAGCAATTGTAATTATTTGTGTGGAAGATGATAAGAGCCTGGATTAGGATGGTGGCCTTGGAGACAAGTGGGTGGACTGGAAATGTATATTAGTAGTAGAGCATAGAACACTTAATGATGGCTTTAGAAGAGGAGTTCAGGGATGAGGGATGGTGAATCAGTGTCCTGAGATTTGGACTTAGGGCTATATAAACCAGGTCTGGGTTTCAAAAGACCCTCTCAGGCCATGTGGGGAATGGACTGGAGGGGAGAGACTAAGACCAGGGAGGAGTCTGAGGTTTGGATCCAGGAGGAAGAGCACAAGTCCTAAGCCAGCCCAAGCCAAGAGAACAGAGAGAAGTGGAGAGAGCAGAGAATCAAGATGTAGAAAGGATTGGATTATGGAATGACAGGCTGTATGGGAAAGAGGAAGAGAGGGAATGAGGACATCCACCCAGGGGTTGGCCCACCAGGAAGAAAGAATCTGTGAACTTGAAGACAGATCTCTTGATATTATCCAGTCAGAGGAGAAAAAAAAATAAGAATGAAAATACAGGGCATCTGGGTGGCTCAGATGGTTAAGCATCCGCCTTCGGCTCAGGTCATGATCCCAGGGTCCTTGGATCGAGTCCTGCTTTGGGCTCCTTGCTCAGTGGGGAGCCTGCTTCTCCCTCTGCCTCTCTCTCTCTCTCTCTCTCTCTCTCTCTCTTATGAATAAATAAATAAAATCTTAAAAAAAAGAATGCAAATACATTTCTGAGGATCTAATGTACAGCATGGTGACTACAGTTAATAATTCAGTATTGTGGGGCGCCTGGGTGGCTCAGTCGGTTAAGCGTCTGCCTTCAGCTCAGGTCATGATCCCAGGGTCCTGGGATCAAGCCCCGAGTCGGGCTCTCTGCTCAGTAGTGAGCCTCCCCCCTGCCCATGCTCTCTCTCTCTATCTCTCTCTCTCTCTCTCTGTCAAATAAATAAAGAAAATCTTTTAAAAAAAAATCATGTTGTACACTTGAAATATATACAATTATAATTGTCAATTATTCCTCGATAACATTGGAAAAAGAAAAAGAGGAAGTCCACAGCCAAAAATCAGAATACTATTAATATGAATTGATTTTTGATGACATTAATAAGAAAATATATTGCATTTGGAGCCTTAAAAAAAAAAAAAAAACAGTGGATGAGATCTCTCAGAAGAAGAAGGTGCTGGGTCTCTAAGAGGCACTGGTTTTCCAGGACCTGGGTGGATATCAGGATGATAGGAACATCCCCAAACATGGAAATCTGACTTGATGAGAGTGGGGGCTGTGGGGCAACAGGAGAGACTTTCAGAGGCTGCTGAGTATGTGGCTCAGGTCTGGAGACAACCAAGCACTGCAGACCTAGATCGAACTGCCAGGGTCCCAGGTTCAATCCTAACTCCTCCCCAGCCTCCCCTTTTTGGGGCCCCAGTGCAGTTGCAGGAAGTACTGCTTGAGGCTCAGCTTCCTCTCCGGGTGTTTTGGCACAGCCCAGCCACCCCCCTCACTCCCGGGGACCTTCCCACTTGGGGCACTGCAGCACTTTCACTTCCCTCAGGTGCCCAACCCCTGCCCCAGCATATGGGAGCACCGTGGTCTACACTTGTTGCCAAGAACAGGATGCAGACTCTGAGAGAGGGGCCGTGACAAGGTGCGTGGGGGGTGGGGGGCATAAGCAGAGAAAGGACCAGCATGCAGAGAGAAGGGGCCAGAAACCCATAGAGGGAGGAGATAGATGCAGGGGGGTGGGGAGGGCAGGCCGGGATGGACAGAGACCCAGAGAGAAGGGAACGGAGACCCAGAAAAGGGAGGACGAGAGACTGAGGGCTGGGAAGGGGGGACAGAGAGGGATGCAGAGATGGCAGAGCTTAGCAGGCAGTGAGGTCAGAGTGTCTGTGAGGTCGGCTGCTGTCCAGGGCTGGCCTGGGGTCCTGGTGCCCAGAGTAGGTGTGTGCAAGGAGCTCAGGAGTCCCTATGGGAGTCCCGTAAGGAGCCATGGAGACCTGGGAGGGACTACCCAGCGTGTCCTTGGTGCCCACAAATTCCAAGGCCCCTCAGGTACTGGTGTGTGTCCCACTGGGCAGGTGAGGGAGGCAGGGGGTGGGCAGAGACAGACAAGAAAGCCACCTTGCCTGTAGAGGGAGGGGGTGGGGCTCCACCCCGGGGACTTCCTCTTTCTCTGTGTTCTTCCTTTCTCCCTCTCTGTCTCTCACGGCCTCTGTCTTTCTGCCTGTCTCCTCCGGGGCCAACACCTCTTCTGTTCTGTCCCTCCCACGGCTGCCCACCCCTCTAGGTGAAGATGTCGGCCCAGGACAGCTGCCTCAGCCTCATCAAGTACCTCCTCTTCGTTTTCAACCTCTTCTTCTTCGTGAGTTGCCACATGGCTGCCCAGCCCAGGCCCTGGCCCCCACCCCTGCTGCAGCCACCTGACCTGATATATACCACCCCACCCCACCCCTGCCTTTGCCCACCGCCATGTTCCCATCTCCTCTGGCCAGGTCCTAGGCAGCCTTATCTTCTGCTTTGGCATCTGGATACTCATTGACAAGACCAGCTTCGTGTCCTTTGTAGGTGAGGGGGCCGGGGCCATTGGGGAGGGCCTGCTGGAGCAAATGTGACCTGGCCTTCCCCTGTGTGACATCCTGGGATCCCCACTGTCCCAGGGTCTGCTTCACAGCCTGCCACTGCTCTTAGCCTTGGGGTCTTCCTCTGGCAAATGAGTTGTGCATACGAATGATAATAAAAATGGTAATAGCCATTTCTCAGGCACTTCCTGCAGCTCATGCAGATGCTTATCAGATCCTCCCACAAACCTTCCCCTCTCTTGAGGTTCAGAGAGGGGATGTCACTTACTGGATGTCACACAGCAAGGAAGTAGAAGAGCAGATAAAACACCAATAATAGTAGGAAAGTAATAATGGAATAATAGTCGAGATCCTAATGGTTCATATTTAATAACTGTTTGCCCTGTATTGAGGACTGCATTGAACACATGCCTCCCATGTGTCTCTTAAAATAATCCTAGGGAGTAGATATCATCCTCCCCTAGCCCTCAGGGAGGTTTTAGTGACTGATCCAATGCCACAGACCAAATGATGGGACTGAAACTATTGGGGGTGAGGAGGAGAAGAAGGAGCAGAGACTGAGAGTAAGAGGGAGAAACCGTGACTAGGGAGAAAGGGGGACAGAGATCCAGAGAGAAAACAGAGACCTAGAGAGACTCAGATGGGACAGAGTCCCAGACGGAGAAGAGAGAATCCCAGAAGGAGAGAAACAGACTCAACATGTGGCAGGGACAGACACCCAGAGAAAGAGGCCCCCCAGAATATGCTCCCCAGTTGAGTGGCTGTGTGGGTAGGGAATGGGGCTCCCTGGAGCTGTGCGCACGAGCCCAGTGTCACTGCCTCTCACCTCCCCCAGGCTTGTCCTTCGTGCCCCTGCAGATCTGGTCCAAGGCCCTGGCCATCTCAGGAATTCTCACCATGGGCCTTGCCCTCCTGGGCTGTGTGGGGGCCCTGAAGGAGCTCCGCTGCCTCCTGGGCCTGGTGAGTGCCCTGCCCACATACCCCCTCAAATAGAGCCCTGGCAGCTCTGCATCCTGGGAGGGGACTCAGTCTGAACTCTCCACTCTACTCCCCAGTATTTTGGGATACTGCTGCTCCTGTTTGCCACGCAGATCACCCTGGGAATCCTCATCTCCACTCAGCGGATGCGGGTGAGCTTGGCTTCCCCTCCCCACACTCTCCCCCGCAAACGTATGGGGCGGTGGAGGGGGGAGAAACAAAAGCAGACACGGGCTGACATGGACAAAGGGAAAAAACAGTGACAGGCAGAGGAAGACAGTGAGAGTCAGAGACCCAGAGACGGACACACAGGAAGATAGACAAGGAGAGTCGAAGATCACGACACGGACGAAGACAGACATAGCAAGAGACACAGATCCAAAGGGAAACAGAAAAAAACAGGCAGAGAAACAGGAGAGACAGAGACCTAATGAGAGAGCGTGGGAGATAGCGGGGGAGCAGAAAGACACGACAGAAACAGGCAGAGATTTTGAGGAACAGAGACATAGCCATTCAGTGAGAAATCGAGACCGACTTCAAGCCGCTCGGGGCACCCCTTGGGACTGAGAAAGCCCGGGAGGGCTGGACTGGGTAGGGGCAAAGGGGGGTGGGGAAGCGGGTGGGACTCCAGCCTCACTCTCCGCCTCTTAGCTGGAACGGAGGGTGAAGGACATCGTGATGGAGACAATCCAAAACTACCGCTCGCGCCCGGAGGAGTCGGCGGCGGAAGAGAGCTGGGACTACGTGCAGTTCCAGGTACGTGAGGCCCCCACCCACGCGGACGCGTATGCCTCCCTCTAGCTCAGGGACTCTGACGAAGCCGGGGCCCGCAGCGCCAGGACCCCAAGGTGACGCTACCCCACCCACCCCACCTCCAGCCAGCCCAACGTGGCCCCGCCCCCGGAAGATAACGTAACCGACTCCGATGTGGCCTTGTCCCCCCCAGCTCCCAGACCCTGGAGAGGCTCCGCTTTCTGCCCCGACAAGACTTCGCCCTCAGCCCCAAGGCCCTAGCGTAACCCCACTCCCTAATCCTTAGTGACTCTGGCCCTCACGGGACCCGGCCCACGTGAGACTCCATTCCCTGGTCATTCACATGGCCCTGCCCTCCCATCCACCTGACCCCTGCCCAAGGCTACCCACCCAATCTTTGGTGCGCCGCGCGATTCTGCAGCTCCTCCCACAGCCCCAGGTGGCCGGTGATTCGTCTCTCCCAACCCCATGTTCCCCTAATGTCCCCAAGCCTAGCCCGCCGTCCCCCAGCCTGAACCCACTATTTAGCCCTCTGCTCCCCAACACGACCTCATACACATCACCCAGTCCCCTGAACCCGCAAGTCATCTTGAATCCCTCCAGTCCCCGTCCCTCTGACTCTTGTCCCTCTTCCAGCTGCGCTGCTGCGGCTGGAACTCTCCTCGGGACTGGTTCAGTATCCCCAGCCTCATCAGCAACGAGTCGGAGGTGCATCGCGTGCCCTGCTCCTGCTATAATTCATCAGCGACCAATGACTCCGCAGTCTTCGATAAGCTCTCGTTCCCCCAGTTCAGCCGGCTCCGACCACTGGCGCGGCCCCGGCACAGTACAGACCTTTGCGTGGTTCCTGCAAACAGCAATATCTACAACGAGGTGGGGAGGGTTTGGAGCCCGCTAGAAAGGGGAGGGCCCTGTGAGGGGGTAGGGCAGCGGTAGGGGCTTGCTCCCCAGGAGGCGGAACCGCCGGACAAGGGAAGGGTCTGCAGGGTGGGGCTACGAGAAAGCGGTACATCAGGAGGGGTGGGGCCCCCTAGAAGGGGCGTGACCTGTAGGGGCGGGGCCTAAAAGTCCTGACTGAAAGGAGGCTGGGACCGCGCGAAGTGGAGAGACTCTAGAGAACCCTACTAACTAGGGATGCGGGGCGGTGCCTGAAGGAGGGGTGAGGGCTGGGCTGAGGAGAACAGTGGGCACGGGCTTGAGGGCGAATCCCCGAAAGAGCCCTACTTTTAACCTTTCCCCACATCCCCAGGGCTGCGCGCGGAGCCTCCAAAAGTGGTTGCACGACAACCTCATCTCCATAGTGGGCATTTGTCTGGGCGTCGGTCTACTTGAGGTAATTGGGTCCCGTCCCCGCTCGCGATTGGCCGTACAGTCCGTAGACGGCCCCGCCCCAAGCTGCGCGTCCTCCCATTCTCTGGGAAAGGTGCAGGCGTGCTAGAGCGTCAGCCAATCCAGGCTCTCCTGCCTCTCCACTTGGCACGAGGGAGACCCACCCTCTGCGAGCCCTGATTGGTTGCACGCAGGAAGTAGGCGGCCTCCCCCGCCCTCGCGAAGTTCCCATTGGCCCTCCTTGGCGTTCCAGCGCCCTGCTCTGAGCCGCAATATCCCTCCCCTTTCCCCGCAGGTGAGTGTAGCGGGGCTGAGCCTGCTGCTACTGCGCTGCGCGCTCCGCCGGGAACGCCAGCTTCAGGTGCCGGGCGCCTGTGGTTCGAGCCCCGGGCCTGGTCCGAGTGCTGATGGCGGCGGCGGGCGCTGTGGTGTACTGAGCAGCAGCGCGCGTAGCGGCGGTCTGTGGGGTGGCTGGGGCATGGCGGATGCCTGTCCCAACTGGGGGGACAAGTCCCCACAGGGCAAGCTGCCCATGGCCCTGGGGCCCTGGCCGCTTTGGGATCAAGACGAGGAACAACCTGAGACCAGGAGCGCGGGCGAGGAGGTGGAGGTCGAGGTGGAATTAGCGGCCGAGGCAGAGAGGGAGACAGATGAGCCTCCGGAATAAAGTATCCTGGGCTAGCTGCGGATCTCACTCCTTCCCAGGCTCTAAACCTGCGCTAGACGCAGCTGGATACGCCCTACCCCACCCTACTCCCCTTCTTTCCATCTTCCCTCCGCGCCCCGCATCTTTGGTAACTTAGCCCAAGCCCCCAAATTCCCATCCCTGACCCCATCTGTCTCAACCTGGCGGAGCTCCCCCTCTAGCCCCACCCTTCGCCGCCGCTCCCATGACCCCATCCCACCCAAATCTCCGCGCTTTTCTTCCCCTGGCGCCACCCCTTTTTTCTCCCTCGGAACCCCCACTATCCCGACCCCAGTCCGCCTAGCCGGCACCCCGTGGACCTCTCTGACCAGGTCTCCTTTCTCTATAGCTCAGCTTCATGACGCTCTCGATATTCCTGTGCAGAAACCTGGATCAAGTCTACGACCGGCTCGCTCGGTACCGCTAGGCCCCGTCCCTTCAAGTGCCCTAGGGGCTTCCCTGTGGTCTGTAAATATTTGTTCAATCCCCAGTTTGCCCCAACCATTGAGTCCTCCACCTCCTCATTTCCCCGGGGGACCCAGATGTCTGCCTGCCCAGCTGCTGTCACCTCTCCCGTGGGACCTGGGGCTTCCGGCCACCAGCTTCCTGCCCCCAAAGACACCTCATTTCCTAGCCTTATCTCTCGGCTTACCACCTCCCACAGGATTATTTTCGCCCAAACCCCAAATAAACCCCCTGCGTTTTGGTAAAATAGTTTTATCCTCTGTCAAAACACAAACCAACACACTTTGCGGGTGAGGGGAGGCAACACAGTATATAGCCCACGTCTTATTGAGAAGAGAGGATGACATTTAAAAGCCTCACCCCACAGCTTGCCCTAATACCCACTTATAAATATCTCTTGTTATATTAAAAAAAATATTTCCAGGGCCCACCTGGCTCTGCTCCTGCACAAAGGGTTAACCTTCAGTATTTGATCTCAAGATCACAGGGTTGGGGGTGGTAAAGAGAGGCAGATTGGGAAGGGGGGGTGCTGAAAAACAGAGGGACAAACCAACATACTTTCTAAGGCCATCCAAAACATCCAGAACCAAGTTGGGGGAGGGCGCCTGTTAGAGACTGAGAAACCAGTGCTGTACCTCGGGGCTGTCTCACTCCTGTCCCCAGTCCCTGATGCTCTGGAGTGATCTGTCCTTTCAGCTACCACTGTGAGGTCCCAGTATCAGAACCCATCTTTTCAACTCACCACCCAGCTTTTAAGGTCCTCTAACACAGAGCAGCCCCCTCCCCAAATGAGCATGAAGAAAGCTGGAGGTACTTCCTGGGAGGAGGGTATTCCGGGGGGTGAGCCACTTTTGGGGTCCCCTTTCAGTCCCTGACCAGGCGATAAATGTGGTGCTGGGCCCCCCGCTCACTGGTGGAGACCTCAAAGACGTAGGCGGTGCAGAGCAGCAGCTCCTGGGTGTCTCTGTTTGTCACCACCTGCCAAGGAGGCAAGAGAAAGGGTTTATGCAAAAAAGGAAGAGCAGAGACCACTGTGTCCTGTACCATGGGATACCTAGGAAAGAGGTCCCTACCATATCACATTCCCTAGGTAGAGGGGCTGCCTGACACGTCCGGTTCCCCATCTGAGCGTTGGCAGTGAGGGGCCTCACATCAGATGGCATATCAAAGTTAACCAAAGTAAGGGCGCCTGGGTGACTCAGTCAGTTAAGCGTCCAACTCTTGGTTTTGGCTCAGGTCGTGATCTCATGGTCATGAGATCAAGCCCCACACTGGGCTCTGTGTTCAGTGCAGTCTACTTCAGATTCTCTCTCCCTTTCCCTCTTCCTTCAGCTCTCTCTCTCAAATAAAATCTATGAAGTTAACCAAAGTTAAAAGGGGATCCCACCATAGCATGTTCCCTGGGCTAAGGTTAGGTTCCCTATGAAGGAGGGTCCCCTAAACTGAGGATCCACCATGGGATGTCCTCCAAGTCAGTTTCTCCAGCGAGAGGGGGATCCCCCTAAATGAGAGTGCTGCGGAGTCCCCACCACATCAGTGTCCTGGGTAAAGGGGTCCCCTAAGCAAAGGCTCAACTGTGGGCTCCCCCATGTCAGTCCCCCAGGTGAAAGGGTCCCCAGGCTGAGGGGCTGTTGTGGGCACTCCCCACCACATCAGCTGCCCTGCTCGGCCCAGCCCCCAGGCCTCACCTGGAGGATGGTGAAGTTCTCCAGGACACTGTTCATCATATAGCGCTCGGGCAGCTGTCGCAGTTTGTGCAAGAAATTCACCAGGTACTCACACATGGGTGAGCGCAGCAGGCGGTACACAAACCTCCCATCCTCCAGCTGGGCACGCTCCGTCTGAACCGGGATGGGGGCGCAGAGTGGGGAGGACAGTGACCAAGAGACACAGGGGTCGCCCCAGGCACTGTGTGCCTCCCCGATGCCACGCCCACTCCCCACTGCCATCATTCCCCCATCGCCGCATCCGTGGGACCTGGACCCGTGGGTATCCAACTTGGGATCCCTGAGCCTGCAAACCAGGGAGCCCCCCAGCCTCTCGAAACTGTGCTCTGAACCCTCCTCCAAGACCTCTGAACTGCTCTGACCCCCAGGCCCTCAGATCCCCTCACACCCTCCAAAGACCCCCTCCACTAGGTCTCCAAACTCTGACTTCTGATTTCAAGACCCCTCGGGCCCTCAGCAATCCCTAAGTGTGACCCCTAAACCTCCTTGCCCTGCAGATTCCTCCATATCCATAAGAACCTTCTGAATCTTAGTTGAGTGTAAGTCTCTGTACCACACATTACCTTTGAACCCTCAAAATAACCCCTACATGTGACTTGGGAACACAATATCAGCTCTAAGCCCATGTATTAATGAAATCCCCAAAGAGGAGAGGATACTCCCCACCCCACCACACAGACACCCAAGTGCAGGAGCTGTTGTGGCTTTGGTCCCTTTAGTCTGCACCCCCAAAGTGGCAGGTGGCTGGGCGCTCACCTGCCAGAGCTCCACCCCTCCAGCCTCACCTCCACCTTCTCCACCACCTGCTTGCCAAAGGAGCAGACCTTGGAGGAACAGGTGAGGGTCATGTGCTCCAGGCTCTCGTACTGGCTGCTCACTCCGTAGAAGCCACCGCCGCTGCCACCAGCCCCTACCTCCTCGCCACTTGGGCCCCAGTTCAAGTCCGCCTGGAGGATAGGGAGGCACAGGTAGGTTCATTATAAATGGTGGGGACTCTTCTCAAGTGGGAACTCTGCCCCATGGCCTGGTTTCCCCCATAGCCCTGCAGTTGCCTACCTCTCCTCCTCTGTATTCAAAGCCCCATGTCTCCACGGGCCTGTTTCTGGAAAACACCCACCCTTCTATTGGTACTGGAGAAGGCTGGCTCCCTAAAATGGTCCTGACCCTCTCTCGCCAGTAACAGCCCCCCCCCCCCACAATTCAACTTTCTTCTCCTGAAGCCCCCAACTCAGGAGTTCAGCCCCTTCCAAGGCCCTGGTTACTAAGAAGGCAGTTTACTCCCTAGCAACCAGCGACTCCACCCCCCTCCCCCAGGCCTTCATGATCCTGGTTGCTAAGGCAAGTGGCTACTCCCTAGCAAAGGGGCCTGCAGGGTCCTGGGGAAGCCTGACTCCTCTCCAGAACATTCTCCCCAGCTCTGTCAGCCAATCCTTGGAGGTCAGACCCCTCTAAGACCCCAGTGGCCGAGTGGGCAGACAGTCCATTAGGCCAAGTGGGACCTAACAAAGCCTAAGACCTCATCACACTTGCGGTCTGAGCCCCTTGGTCAACTTTTCAGGAAGCCTACCTCTCTCTCTTCCTAACTTGTTGCTCACTCGACCAGGTCACTCTCTGAGATCGTTTAATCTCCTCAGAGGCCTGATGCCATGCATCACCCTGGCAATGGCCACTCCCAGCCTCCCCAGCCACACCCCTGCATCCCTTCAGAGGCTGGGCTTTCTAGGAGTTGTTCTCCAGACAGACCCGGTGAGGCCTGTCTTAAGTCCCAACAATGCCTAAGATCTCAGCGGCACATCTGCAGAGCCATCTTGGGCCCCCACACACTAGAACACTTTATAACCATGGTTGCTACAGGCCCAGCCGAGCCAGTAAACTTCAAGCCCTCAGCAGGCTTCCTTCTTAGACACTGGATCATGCCACAGCTCTGGTTAACAAGCGTTAACACCCCCCTGAACATTCATAACATTTATTGGATCCCTACAGCATCAGCCCCTGTAGTGGACACCAAACCAAATGGGCCTAAGAAAGACCCAAGATGGACCCTCTTATTCACAATTATATACATAGCACTTGGCATAGAGCCTTGAGTACAGTAAGTGTTTAATAAATGATTGTTAAATAAATAAAGGCTTTCACGAAGTCCCTCCCAGGTCCTGCAGTCACTTTTTTAAGGCCAGACATTCTCTAGCAACAGGGCCTGGTGGCACTGTGTTCTCTTCAGAAACCAAACTCCGTGCCTCTATTTGCTAAGGGACAGGAGCCATCCCTTAGCAACAAGGCTTCATGTGGCCGGGCGGAGCGCAGGGAAGTCTGAAAGGTTGCAAGCCAATCCCCAAGGCCACATCAGTCGTGCAACTGGTTGTGGCAACGTCTAGTGTGATCTGGGGAGGTCCAAGTCCTACCCATCCTGCCCTAGGGGTAAAACTACTCGGGGCTCTTGTTACAAAGCAGGCTGACGCTCCGAGCTTGTCTCCCTGAGAGCCAGAGGCCTTAGATGGGAGGCCACGTGATTTGTGGGCACTTTGTTTTGGTGGCAGAACTCACCCAGAACTTGACCAGGAAGAAGGCGTGAGGGGGCCCGCGATCGTACAGCTCCCGAAGGCCGCCCTTTTTCTCAGGGAATTTGTCATAGATCTGCCGGACGTCCACACTCTCGAGGGGGGGCGCTCCAGGGCTGGGGCAGTGCTGGCTGATGTGTACGAACAGGTGCCTCTGGTACTGAGAAGGGTGGGCCGTGGGTGAGGAGTGGGAGATAGGCTGGACCCCGGGTGCTCACTGCCCCCAGCTCCCACTAGCTATTTCACACTGTGCACCCAGACACCGGGCCTGACTCCCAAGCACCGTCGCCATTCCCTTCTGCCGTACCGCACCTCAGTCCTCAAGTCCTCTCCCCTGCTCTCCATCCTCACAGCCCTGTCCCCTCCACCCTCTCCCCATTCTCCTCCCTGGCCTCCCAGCCTCCGATCTCCACTCTCCAGGTCATCCCTCACACACCCCCAGAGCTGACCGTGGACCTCCCCTGCTCACAATCCTCCTGTGGCTCCCCAGAGCACCCAGGACAAAACCCACAGCCCCCTCAACCTGGCCCTATACCGAATAGGTGCTCCCAAATGTTCAATCAATCGATGGATGGGGGGATGGG